TTCCTGCTGTGTTGGGTTCTTCTGTGTGGAGGAATCCCAGATCATCACCATTTGGTGCTCTCTTTGATCAGATCTCTTTACTCTTGCACAACTTTACATTTGCCTTCTGCTTTCCTGTGACTTGCTTATCCAGGGTTTCCAACCTGGCACTTCTCTCATATGACACAACTATTCAAGACTTTTAACTAAGGCAGAGGCTGGGAAAAGCTCCTACAACGTTCAGAAGGCTGGAAAGCATCTTGAAAATGAAGGCAGAAGAGCTCTTGATGGCTCTCACCAGTGAGGAGTCAGGAACTCTTTAAGCTAAAGGCCTCATTAGCCCAGCAGCACAAAGCTATAGACTAGGAATGAAAATATTTAACCTGGAAATTAGAGGGTTTTTAGCAATTAAAGTAATACCAATTTTCAACAGAAAAGCAGGAGCTAAAAACCTTGCTGCTTCTAGGGTGTATTTACGGATGGGACTGTACAACCTCCTGGGGAAGGGCAGGGTGGGACAGGGATTGTTGATGCAGAAAGACCCTCCAGGTTGTGTGTTTTTTTTTCCCTGAGGAACGTGTGGTTAATTCATCCTTCCACAGTCAATTCAAAACGTTGTCCTGCAGAGCTCAGGGGGCTCTGGTAGAAACCTGCTGTGCCAAGATTCACTGGGCTTTAAAGGCTTCTCTGCATTCCAGGGCAGTGAGGTTTATTTGCCTATTGCTGGATGCTTCTGGAGGAATCAGATAATTGTTCACCAAGAGTAAATTAAAGAAAAAAACCCTCCCCTAGCTACTTGCAGGAAATAAGAAGCCAGCTGAGAAGTGGTACCTTGTTTGCTCTGAGCATCCTCTTGACATCAGCGTGAGGTTACTTCTAATAAGATGCACGTGTGTAAATATGATGATTAGATATTCCCATCTAAACATGATTATCATATCTGCCTAAAAGTCTACGCAGCCTTTTTAGGAATCCTGGTGCTAAAAATAAATAAATAAGAGCCAACAATCTGCACTCAGCCTCTTCTATATGTAAACAGTGGAACATGAGGGCAGAATATATTTTCCAAAGTACCTAATGGTAGTTGAGGTCAATTACAGTAACGACTCATTAGAGTATTAAACTAAGAATATGCTTTTTAGTATAATTAGTGTTCCCTTAGAAAACTAGCTTGTAGTTCACTTGAATTCTTTGAGCATTTTCAGGGTGTTTGTGCATTAGTCTTAAGCAAATATAGCAGTGTTATGTTGCATTAACCTCACTTAGAAACTCTGCAACCACTTGCAGCATCTCTTCCACTTATTTTTTATTGCTCAGATAACTTCCAAAGATGCCTTAGAAAGCACAGAATACTGTCTAATTAGTCATACAGAAGATTACAACAGATTAATTCCCTGTTCAGGTTTCTGCTGTTTCAGAAATTCCAAAGGGATAAGATAACACAGCCCAGCAGGTCCTCCTCCAAACTGTCTTTAAAGGGAAAATAAAAAATTGATAAGAAAGAATAAAAGAAAAGTCATGAGTCAGGCTATAATATTCATGACAAAAAGGTGAAATTCTAATAAAATGCATTATATTCTGGATTGGAAGAACCTGAAGGAGAGAGCAACCAGAATATTGGATCTGTGTGCAGGCTTGGAAGTGTCACAGTTGGAAATTTTTATCATCAAGAGGAGAATTTCCAAAATATTGGTCTTTTTATCACCTCGTGGGCTGTGATACATCCAATTTCCCCAACCGTAGGGGGCAGGGAGGAAATTTATGGTGCTCCCACTCCAACTGGGGGTGGAGCCCGACATCAAACGGTGTCTCATGAGGTTGTGTCACTAATGCTGGTGGGACCTTCTGCTTCCAGAGCTCAGCTACGCGTGGATCTTCAACGAGTACCCCACCTTCGTACACCAGGACAACCGCCGCTTCGTTTCCCAGGAGACTGGCAACCTGTACATCGCCAAGGTGGAAGCTTCAGACGTGGGCAACTACACCTGTGTGGTGACCAACGTGGTGACCAACAGCAGGGTCCTGGGTCCCCCCACCCCACTCATCCTCAGGAACGACGGTAGGACTCGGAGGAGGGGAGCTGGGGGCTGAGGTGGGAGGGTGTGTTTTGTTTTCTCGGACTGGTTGGCACCCAGAAGTTCAAAAATGGGCTGAAATGCTGATATCAGAGTAAAGGGAGAGATTTTTTTCCTCTTTTCAGAGTTTTAGTGAGGCTGAAGAACTTCTGGACATGAGGAAGAAGTTCTTCCCCAGGAGAGTGGTGAGACCCTGGGATGGGTTGCCCAGGGAGGGGGTTGAGGCCCCATCCCTGGGGGTCTTTAAGGCCAGGCTGGAGGAGGCTCTGGGCAGCCTGATCTAGTGGGAGGTGTCCCTGCTCATGGCAGAGGGGTTGGAACTGGGGGATCCTTGTGGTCCCTTCCAACCCTGACAGATTCTGATCTGTTTTAGCCGAGGACTGAAGAGCCATAATGGCTCAATGGTTGGACTTGATCTTGGAGGTCCCTTCCAACCTAAAGGATTCTATGATTCTAAGAACTCTGCTTTAGCTGTGGTTCAAGGTCACAGCCAGTGGTGGGGGTTATGAGGCCGTGGCTGAAGTTGCTCCTCCCTCTACTGGAACATCTCCCAGTATTGGGCAATAAAGATAAAAGAAAAACTTGGTGACACTTGGCCAACCCAACCTAAAGGAAATAGATTTGTAGGGTTTAGATACACTAGTTTTGTTCATTTTATGCAGCCCAGAAGTGAACAAAAGCACTTTGTTGTTTTGATAACTCTTAGCTCAGGCTGTATTTCCCAGCAAAATTAGTGTTATTTTTAGTAGTCTGTGGAATAATACAAAAAAAAAAGTGAGAAGAAACCAAAAGAGGTTTTCTAAATTTATCCTGACAATTGATCTGTATCGTCGTCATTTTTGAGTAGATAAGAAAAATATATTTGCCTGTTAATTTGCAATTAAAATGAATTAAAATTTGTCTGGGTAAAGGATAACAGTTAGGACGTTTGTTCCAGAAATAGAAATGCATTGTTAGAAACTTCTTCTAGAAGAAGACCCATTGTCACTTGGTGGTACTTGATAAAAATTCCTTGCTTGTACCACACGGGCTGGCTGCTGCCAACCTCCTGTAGCCACCCCTTTCATGTTGGCATGGGTCCTGGCCAGGGGGCAGTTTGGAAACACTGGGGGTAATGGGAAAGTGCCATGGTTGGGCTGGGAGGGGTGAAGAAGGGGCAAGAAGGCCAATGGCATCCTGGCCTGGGTCAGAAATGGTGTGACCAGCAGGATTAAGGAGGTGATGGTGCCCCTGGACTTGGTGCTGGTGAGACCACAGGTTGAGTCCTGTGTCCAGTTTGGGGCACCACAGGATGAGAAGGGCATGGAGGTGCTGGAGCAGGGCCAGAGAAGGGCAGTGAGGCTGGTGAGAGGACTGGAAAACATGAGGACCAGCTGAGGGACCTCAGGTTGTTTAGTCTGGAGAAGAAGAGATTGGGAGGAGACCTTGTTGCTCTCTACAACTACCTAAAAGGAGGTATGTTGAGATGTTCCAAATGTTGAGATGGAACCTCCTGGGTTCCAGTTTGTGCCCAATGCCCCTTGACCTCCTGCTGGGCACCACTGACAAGAGTCTGGCCCCAGCTTCTTGACTTCTGGGTTTTGCAAGGGTGCAATTTAGTCCTGAACACCAGTTGGCACCTTTGGGATCCTCTTGGGCCATCCCAACCCTGCAGCAGACACCAGGCAAAGCCTGCTAGGAGCACCCAGGTCTTGAGAACTGCTGTTTTGGCAGGGCTTTACTTCATCTCTTTAAAACCCACTTTGGATTTTTTTACACTGAAATTAAAACAGGAATATTGGGAAAGAACTGAAATAGTCCTGGAATAAAATTACCTCCAGCAGCAGCTGTATGGGCCAATTAAACTTTAACATTTCAGAGGTGCCATCAGGAAATGTGTATCCTCTCCTCAGGTAAATTACCTTGGGTCTGAATTCCTGGGACTTTCATCCAAAAGCATGTTTTTAAGCCTTGAAATTGGAAGAAAAATATGAAAGCCTCTGCAATACAAACACGTAGAGCATCTGATGTGCCACCACCCTGGGAGCGTCCTCCAAGCTACAGACCTTGGGGCTGTTTTAGTCTTTTTATTTCCTTCCCTGACTCTTCCACCTGTGTGGCTAAGTCAGATGTTTAATCACCCAGGAAAAACAAGGGTTGTCTGCATGGAAATGATCTTGCATTTGGGATAGAGCTACCTCAGCTCCACTGGTGGTTCTGCTCTGAGCTGGAGGAGGCAGGACTCGCCCCGTGCCCTGCAGATGTACCTGTGTGTGGAGGTTGGAATTCCAGTGGGAGCTTTGTGATTTTTCCAGGCACCTAACCCTGATTTTGAAGAGGCTGGAGTTTGGAGGAACGTTGGTAACACAGCTGCCCTCCCAGCTCTCAGAGGCAGCAGCAGTGGCCAGAGCTGCAGGGCCACGGGTAGCAGTGGCCTGAGCTGATGGGGTTGTGTCATCCCTGGGATTTGAGCTCCCCAACCCCAGCCCAAGGCAAAGAAATGAGTGAAGAGGAGGCAAAAAAAAGCCACGTTCCCTCCCTCCTATTCCTGTCTCCTTTGCTGTCAGGTGAATAATTATTAATAATACATTCTGCCTTAATTTCCTGACTGGCCCATTAGCATCACATGATACTTTGACTTGCTTAAGGGGACTGAGTTCCTGCTCCACCACTGGAGGAGGTGCAGAAGAAGAAAAGGTTCTTCTGTCTTTTCATAGAATCATAGAACATTTGGGGTTGGAAAGGACCTTTAAATCAGTACTTTCTGACCTGTGTTTTGCTTGTTGAGGCCTGGTTTGTAGCTGGCCCATCAGTGGGCAGGTGGCTTCTTGGGCCAGCATTCTCCCCATTATTTGGCCACCACGTCATCTACATCCTCCAGCTGGCTGCCAGCAGAGTGGTTTTGAGGGGTGCTGCATCCCCTCTGCTCCTGCTGTGTGCTGTGGGGGGATTGCTGGTGGCACAGGCACCATCAGAAACATCTCAGAGAGGATGATGGAGACCAGGTAAGTCTCCAGTCTGAAAGCCAGCATCTTCCCAAGTGAGGCAGCTGGCCTGGATCCAGTCAGGCTGTCATGGGATGCTCAAAAGCTCTTTTTCTGCAGCAGAAAATGGAAATACTCTACTAGAAAAAGATCTCAGTGAGTTTTACTATTAGCAGAATGGTGCTGCTGCTCCCCAACGTTCACACCCAGCTGTGCCCTTGGCCACCACTGGGCAGGAGCTGCTCTTGCCCCAGCAAACATTCAAACATTTAGCACGAAATCTGAAGAAATTTAGACAAGATGGCAAAGATTTGTCAAGTCACAATCAGGAGGAGAGAAGATTTTTGTGTGACATCAACTGTAGCAAACACTTCCAGCCCTTCAGGGGTGCAGAGGGCTAACGAGGAGGGTGCCCCTAATTCTTGTGGGTTGAGTCTGTAGATGCTGGAGTGCTGGCACAGACTCGTGGGCTTCCTGCTGCATGTGCTGGCCAGGAGAGGACTATGGAGGGAGGATTCATATCATTATAAACACATTGAATTTTGCTGACTGGTGTTGTGCAGCAGCCAATCTACATAATGTAGCAGCAATGCTTATTTGCATTAAATGGGTTAGAGGAAAGATGATGTAACCTGGTATTGCACCAGAACAGGTCAGCAGGTAAAGGGTAGATTTGATGTCAGCCTCACACTGAGCGTTTTCAGCTGATAATCACTACTGGTGAGGTTATATGTGCTGGTTTTAAGGCAGCTCAGTGACTAGAAATGTAGGCATTTATCATTAATATAACGACCTTTTTATGTGCACAAATTTTTAAACACAATTTCCTAAAGAGGCTGCTGTGATACGTGATTTACTGGGGCAGTAAAAAGAAAAGAAATTACCCAAAGAGTCTCTGATCTCTGTGCATCTAAATCCTCGAAGTTAATAGAAGCCTTGATGAGCTCCAGTGCTTTTAAAACTTTTTCTAATGGCTATTTGTTCCACGTCTCATTTTCTAGAAGGGGGTGAACCTCCCTTTTATCACCTCCCTTATTTCACAAGTTACCTGCAAAGATCCTGAATATTCAAAAGCCAAAAAAAAAAAAAGGAACAGAGCCGTGAAGAAATTTTAATCTTTGGCAGATGGCGTGGAGAGCTGGTTCAGATTTTCCTCTGGCAGTAAATGGGAAAAGAGCCCACACTCCACGGCTGTTAGCAACAGGCTGTGTTTAAAATGAATGGATTAATTGGGCAAGTAATGATGTATGGAACAGCTCCGTGCTAGCACGGGAACACTTGTGAATTTATTGGAAAAAAATTCAGCCAAGCTTTAGCATCTATTTTACGTTCACAGGCGTGATGGGAGAGTATGAGCCAAAAATAGAAGTGCAGTTCCCAGAAACGGTTCCATCTGCAAAAGGAACAACGGTGAAACTCGAGTGCTTTGCCTTGGGGAAGTAAGTTTTGAGCCATTTATTATTATTATTATTATTAATATTATTCCTCCACCCTCTCCCTTTGATAGTGCTGTGTTGTGGGGTTTGCAGGATTTCCTGATCACTCCCTTTCCTCAGCAGGAGTTATTTATTGCCTTTATTCACAGCAGACAAATGGCAAGGGCTTTGCTCACCAAAAATCCAAACTCCTATAGGAAGAGAGAAGGTGTCACTTATTTTGTAAAGATTTGTTTGTGCATCTCCTGTTTTGAGGTTTCTTGTAAGACTTAAAACACGTCTCTCGTTTCTGGCAACAATTCCAAAATCAAACTGTGGGGCTGGTAGGAAGATGGATGGATTGTCACAGCAGAACCCCAAATTCAGCTTCATCAAAACAGCATTTTAATAATATGGAGGAGTCTTCTGCTTTCAAAACTATATGAGCAATACAACATTGCAATACACATGTATATTTTTTATTATATATAAGCAACCCCTGATAAAATGGCTCAAGATCATGTGCCAGAATCTTCAGATCAACTGTTCCTTCATCATCCTCAAACATGAAATGGTGTTAAGCTGATCAGCCAAGACCTGGAGGTTTTTCTGCTAGTCTTACTTGCTTTGTTTTCCTCATTTAGCCCAGTTCCCACGATTAGCTGGAGGAGAGCAGATGGGAAACAAATTCCCAGAAAAGCCAGGAGACACAGATCGAGTGGGCTTCTGGAAATCCCAAATTTTCATTTCAGGAAGATGCTGGACTCTATGAGTGTGTAGCTGAAAATGTGAGAGGGAAGAACGTGGCACGAGGACAACTCACATTTTATGGTAAGCAGACTGCTGCATTTTGGGGCTTTTATTGTCTCAAGTGCAATATGCAGTAAATATTTTGTGAGGAAGTCGTTTCAGGGGATATTTTAAAAATTACTTTCTTTTACAAACAGCACATCTCAAAAAGGGTGTAATTTGAAATAAAACCTGTCTGAATGATGCCTATTAATTGAGGAGCAGAGCAGTTGGAACAAAAGCATGTTGCTGGAAGGACTTTGGCATGGGGACATGCAGAAAACCCAAACAGCTCGTTTGCCTTCTTGTGGCTGTGAGGCTGAAGCAGGTTTTCTGGTGGAGCATCCTCGTGGTTACAATTTGGGATTTATCATGAATCTGCTGCCCCAGCTTGTGTTAATATGTGTTGTTAATTGCTTATAAACAATTAAGGAGGGCTTTGAAGAGGGGTCACTGGTCTCACAGCCTGGGAGGTTGGTATTTAACCCTGTCAGAGCTGGCAGAGTCTTCTTCACCCAAAGACTTTCTGTACCTGCTGCTCTTGCACTGAAATGAGAGCCATTGAGATGGGCATGAGAAAAATTTAAAACTTCAGCTTCAGAGCCCTCTTCTGTGTTAAGAAGAATCACAGAATCATTTTGGTTCACAGAGACCTTTAAGATCATCAAGTCCAACCATCCCCCCAGCACAGCCAGCTCCCCACTGCCCCGTGTCCCTCACACCACATCTCCACGGCTTGGAAACCCCTCCAGGGGTGGGGACTCCACCCCTGCCCTGGGCAGCCTGGGATAAGACTTGACAAACCTTTTTGGGGAAGAAATTTGTCCTAATGTCCAACCCAAACCTCCCCTGGTGCAACTTGAGGCCATTTCCTCTTGTCCTATTGCTTGGTCCTTAGGAGGAGAGACCAACCCCATCTGGCTCCAACCTCCTGTCAGGGAGTTATTGAGAGCAAAAAGGTGGCTCCTGAGCTTCTGTTTTTCCAGGCTCAACAACCCCCAGTCCCTCAGCTGCTCCTCACCACACTTGTGCTCTAAGACCTTTCCCCAGCTTTGTTGCCCTTCTTTGGACCAGCTCTAGCCCCTCAATGTCCTTCTTGGAGTGAGGGGCCCAAAACTGATCCCAGTATTCAAGGTGCAGCCTCACCAAGATGTGTTGGTGCTTCTGATCCTGATAGAAGTATCTGCCCATCCCCAGATTTCAGCTGGAAACAGCCACATCTAGCAAAGCAAATGAAATACTTTTAGGAAATGAATGAAGCTTGCAGGGGGAAAGTTCTACCTCTGCTGAGTTACTGTGGATGTACCCACAGAGACATGAAAAGAGTCACAGAGAAGGACTTTAGAGGTTTTTAAGGGTTGTTGGTTTGGTACTTAGATTCTGTTTGCTATTTTTTGGAGGAGAGAAGGCTGCAGGTTACACATGCCACATGCAGAGACCTCCCCACCATCATGGAAATCTTTGTTTTATTGCTGCCCTGTCATCTTCAGGAGCATAATGAGCGTTGTTCTTTATCAAACACATGGAAGGAAAATCTGTGTTAGCTCCCCAAAATGCTCCTGAGGGCCCAGCATCTGCCAGCAGGAGGATGGGGTTGAACTCCAGAGATGAGAATGAGTGGGTTTGATTTATAGTAAATTTGCCACAGATAAAGAGTTTGGGAACTCACCCTCCTGGCAAAACTGGATTGAATTTGGTGAGGAACATAATTTTTTTTTTAAAAGGCATATGTAGGGACGTGTTAAAATTGGAAATCTTTCTGAAAGGCATTTCATTTAGAAATCAGAACTTTTGAGGCTGCAATTTCAGAGGAATGCTTCTTTTAAAACTGTGTAAAATATAAAACGAGAAAACATTAAAAAAGGACTGAAATAGCAAGAAAAAAGTGAAATCTTTCATGTTAAGGAAAGAATCTGGGGTTGATTCAAACTAGTTTTTCATTTTTCTTTTTTTTTATCTAATTAAAACATTTGAAGCTTTCTTTTTTTGTTCATCAAACAGTCTGTGTTTCTGATTTTTTCCCATGTGGACAGTAAATGAAAAGACTCATCAGTTCTAAAAGTTTGCTCAACCCACGACCAAACCTGCCTTCCTTGCAAAGCTCTACATCAAGCCCTTGGTATACTCCCACATATACCATAGATTAAGTTATACTCTAATTACTGTAATGAATTACCCAGTCTGGATGCCATTCCTGGAGAACTGCAGAGCCTACAGAAAAGCTGCCCCTGTGGCTAGTGCTGGTTGTCACACTCAAGATGGCATTTCAACAAAAAAGGTCAAGATTTTGTGGAAAGAGGAGTATCCCTCTGTCTCTCTCTGATGATGGCCTTCCTTGCAAAGCTCTACATCAAGCCCTTGGTATACTCCCACATATACCATAGATTAAGTTATACTCTAATTACTGTAATGAATTACCCAGTCTGGATGCCATTCCTGGAGAACTGCAGAGCCTACAGAAAAGCTGCCCCCGTGGCTAGTGCTGGTTTTCAAACTCAAGATGGCATTTCAACAAAGAAGGTCAAGATTTTGTGGAAAGAGTATCCCTCTGTCTCTCCCTGATGATGGGGACTACCTTTACATGCACTCCTCTTCCTCTGAGCAGAGGTGTTAGCCTGCTGGCTACTGGTTTTAGAGAGAATTGACTAAAATATCATAGAATGGTTTGGGTGGGAAGGGAACTTTAAGGTTCCCCTGCAGGGAGCAGGGACATGTTCAACTGGAGAAGGTTGCTCAGAGCCCTGGCCAACCTCACCTGGGATGGTTCCAGGGATGGGGCAGCGACCACCTCTCTGGGCAACCACCCTCAATGTAATAAAATTTCCCATAAAAATTATTTTTTATGGGAAGTTCCTTACTGTAAACATTCTCCACAAATAGTTGAAACTGAGTTACTCTCCTTAGTCATATTTCTTTTTAATGCTGACGTGGTTTGGTGGTGACCTGGCAGTGCTGGGATAACAGTTGGACTTGAGGATCTTAAAAGGTCTTTTCCAACCTAAACAATCCTCTGGTTCTGTGTTGTTATTGAAATCCAACTGTAATGTTGGCAGAGCTTTTCAGGTTGCTTTGGGCAGCCTGGGGCTGGTGCCTGGAGAAGGGAAAGCTCTGGAGGATGTGATATGGGCAGTTGGATGTGCCACCTACCTGCCTGTGGTGTGTCTTGGAGGTCACAACCTGTCTCTAATGGCAAGACCCATTTAAACCCAGTTATCTGCCTCTGCATAGTATAAAATAAAAAGGAAATAAAATCCAAATTTGCCTGCTGGCTGTCAATAACCCAGCGTTGCCTCCATTGTCAACTCCTAGAAGTTGTCAGGGCAGGTTGACTTCTGCTGTGCTGTGTCCTTGCAGCAGTGTTTATTTTTGCCCCTGTTAGCAGATCAGAGATCCTGACGTGGTTCGACAGCCTCGTTGCAGCAGGAAAGGTTAATTAGGCGTGTGAGATCTGTTCTTCCTCCTGCCCCTGCAACAGGCTGTGGTTTATTGCTCTCCAAAAGCATTTGTTCTGAGTGCTGCGTGTCCTGCTTGATGGATGGACCTTCATGGTAGAAAACGTGTTCATGTTAATGCAATTACAGTGACTTATACCTGTTTCCTTGGCTGTTATAACTCTGAACAACATATCACTTGTTTTCTCACCCCAAGTCTCTTGTTCTGTCTGCTGTTCCTAAGCAGGTACCACATACCCCAGATTAGCCCCTGAGAATTAGCAAATTAAGCTCCAAAACCTCTTTTCCACCCTCATTTAGCAGCTATAAATGCACATGGGGCTGTGTCCCTGGCTTGGCAGCTCGATGCTGGCCCCCTGGCCAGCTCAATCCCCATGTCTGAGGCAGGGGAGGTCCCCAGGTCCCCTGGGTGCACCCACACTGCTGCCTTGGGTGCTCAAGTTTGGGTCAAGCCCAGGCTCCACCGTGCCACCAGCTCCCTGCTTTGATCCCCAGCGTGGTGGAAGCACCCCCATTGACCTGATGCTAATTTTAATCTGGCTACTCCTAAATTTTGCATTTGATGACCTTCCACAAGGCCAAGATTTGTATCCTGAGCAAGAAGCAGTGCCAACAGTTTGGGGTTTTTTTTGGCTGTGTTTCCAGACGGTGCAGTACTGGCTGTGGTGCCACTCAACAAGATCTGGGCAGGCTAGAGAATTGGGTGGAGAAGGAAGCTAATGAAGTTCAACGAGGGCAAGTGTAGAGTCCTGCACCTAGGGGGATTAAACCCCTGCACCAGTACAGGTTACCAGTGACCTGCTGGGAACCAGCTCTGCAGAGAAGGACCTGGGAGTCCTGGTAGACAAGTTCACCATGAGCCAGCAGTGTGCTCTTGTGGCCAAGAAGGCAAATGGTCTCCTAGGGTGCATTCAGAAGAGTGTGGCCAGCAGGTCAAGACAGGTTCTTCTCCCCTTTTACTCTACTCTAGTGAGGCCACCTCTGGAGTATGGTGTCCAGTTCTGGGCTCCCCAGTTCAACAGAGAAAGGGAACTACTGGAGAGAGTCCAGCAGAGGCTGCAAAGATGCTGAGGGGCTGGAGCATCTCTGTGCCAGGAAAGGCTGAGAGACCTGGGGCTGTTAAAACTGGAGAAGAGAAGCCTGAGAGGGAATCTGATCAAAGCTGAGCAAGAG